CGGCATCACCAACCGGAGGACACCGCTCCGACAATCCCCACCCCTCCTCGCGCGTCCAGGAGCTCTGCTCCACCACCATCTCGGCGACTCCCAAGCTCACATTGACGGAGACCACCACCTCGCCGCCGCCCCCCACCATCTCCACCCGGAACCAGGCCGCCCCGGGCTTGGGCACCCCGACCACCGTCACCGCGGAGCCCTCCGCGAGCCCGCACGGGATCTTGACGCCCCGGGCGCCCACGCCGCCCAGATCCCCTTCCACGGACGACCGGCAGCTCACATCGAGGTCTCCCTGGCGCCGCCCGTCCTTGCCGCCGGCCGCCGATGCCGCGACGGCGAGGGTGAGGTTGCGCCATGCGTCGGCGGCCTCGAGGACTCCCGCGGCGGTGCCCGGGAGCGCGTCGGAGCGGAGGAGGAGGGGGCGGAGGAGGCGCCAGGAGTGGTGGGCGGTGGAGTTGGCCGGGGGAGGGTAGAGGCGGGAGAGGCCCGGGAGGGTGGGGAGGAGGCGGGCCGCTGGGCCGCCGGCGGCGGTGGCGGCGGGCGGAGGCGCGGTGGAGGGTGACGGGGAGAGGAGGAGGAGGAGGACGGCGAGGGTCAGGATGAGCAGCACGCCGGTGCACTTCCTCATCGGCGGCGAGCACTGGTTGTTGGGGACTCGCCGGAGGAGCTCTTCGGACAAATGGGCGCCGTTATTTTCCCAAACAGAGAGAAAAAAATGGGCGCCGTTTTACAAAAACGAAACCGTCTCTCGGGCAATTTTACTGGTTTTCGTGAAAACCGTTGACTACAAGCGAAAATTGATCTAATTTTTTTGAAGAAAATAAAATACAGTACTATCTAAATTGTTTTGAATTTGACTGATTTGTTTAGAACCATGACTTTTATTGAATTTGAGTTCGATTGATTTACCGAGCGATCTTGGCTCTCGAGCCGCCTTAAAATCTTTGGTATTCACGAAACCTAAGAGGTGTGTTTAGTTTGTTGAGGGTAAAGTTTTTGAAGTGTACGAATACATATTTGAAGTATTAAACGTAGACTAATAACAAAACAAATTAGAGCAGGTACAATAGCAGGCTATAAGCAATCTGCAAACATATTTTAACAAAGATAAATAAGGAGAGAGAAAAGCAGCGGGCTACAGATTTGTAGCCAACTGTAGCACAGACTCCAAGACGCAGTGTATATATAACACGTGGGACCAAGTATTAATAATGTAGTATGTAACTATTGTATGAATGAGCTATTAGATTAGCTATAGTTGAATTAGAGCTACTAGTTGGCTATACTATTAAACTTGCTCTTACAGATTCCGTCTGTAAACTGCGAGACGAATTTATTAAGTCTAATTAATCCTTCATTAGCAAATATTTACTGTAGCACCACATTGTCAAATCATGGCATAATTAGGCTCAAAAGATTCGTCTTATAATTTACATGCAAATTATGCAAATGGTTTTTTCTATCCACATTTAATACTCCATACGTATATCCAAATATTTGATGTGATATTTTTGATTAAAATTTTTTAAAGTCTAAACAAAGCCCTAGTCTTTTTTAAGTCCAATTCACTCGAAAGACTGGATGGGGATTAGGGAGTGGAAATAGTGTTTGGCAGCTGTTTCTTTGTTTCTGTCATTGACTTCCCGCTGTTACTATCCAAATTGCGTTGATGTTGCTCATGACAATGGCAAAATTGATCAATGGAGAAACAAAGTAGTACTATAGCAAGTTGCATTTTACAACATGCGAGATGATACTTTTGTTTAACAAACACATCACACGTGTCTCAGTTCCTGGATAAACTACCCACTTTTACACGTGAAAATAAGGGTAAGAACACAATTACCCCTTTCTTTTTTGATTGTTTTGATGGGTACTGTAGAGCTAGATCGAACGGCCGACCGGCCAGAAATGACCATTGGCTTGATTGTTTTGACTGCACTATAGAGCTAGATTTTACGTGTGACTGGCCACATGTGAAACATAGGTTTGATTGTTTTAACTTGCACTATAGAGTTAGATCGAATGGCCAACCAGTCACACGTGACCATAGGTTGGCAAGTTGACTTTAGTCATTTGAGTCATGTTGCTGTATTTCAGTTTCACGGAGCGACAGCTGTGCTGTCTCTAGTGACGAGCAAACCAAACCAATAGGAGAGAAGAGTGTGCATGCTTGACGCTTCGTAACCTTAAGAGTAAGAGTATACTCTTAAGTGGCTAACCCATTGGAAAAACCGGGCTTGGGACAGTTTAGGCCTGAGTTTTACTCGTGGACCAGTAACTATATATTTTTTAGATTTTCCCAACCACCCGTGACCTAACTCTAGTTGTTTGGCTAGCATCCCACATATATAGCCTTTTCTAGCCCATCAAGCAACACAACCCTGATAGGCAGCCAACCCTAGTCCCACCTTCCCTCCTCTAGTGGTCTCACCCATCACGTCATGTAGCCGGTGCATGAGCGTCGCATCCTAAAATCAAACCATCGACTCCGCATCACGCATTCACTTCGCCTCAAAGCTTGATTCCCTAAATTAATCCATGTCAGTCTCCTTTCTAATCTTCCCCAACCCTAGAAACAATAGGAACCTGGGTTAATAACAATGGCAAAATATTATTGTGCTTGTTTCAAATATGATTGGTGCTGACCTTGGGCTTCGCACAACAATTGAAAATTGAATAATTGCAAGTAAACATTAGGGATGCTGCCCGTGTATTTTTTTTTTGTTTTTATTGCTTCCTTTTTAAGCAACTCACCTGGAAATTATAGTTTTGAATGCACACAGGTGAAGGGTTTAGGTATTGGCAAAATGCGAAATTTTTTTAAAAAATATACCTCTTTTTTATTGGTTTACATAAATATATACATTTAGAGGGATTTGCAGAAGTACACCATTATCGCAGAATGAAAGTGTGGACGCACGACTTCGCGCGGCGAGGGCGCGAGACCAGCTGCTTGTCTCGCGTGACGAGTGCGAAGACCGCAACTTCGCATCCCTAGCTATCTATCTATTATATTCTAAAAGTCCATTAAACTTCCTACAAACGCTTTTAAGCTGCTATGTGGCATTCTATAAACACTCTCGAGTCGCCATGTGGTGCTCTAATAGAATAAAGAAATCTGACCAATGATTTTTATTTAAATTATTGGACTCATTATTTTAGATCGTTAGATTTATCTTTACAGAAAAATAAAAAATAAAATCTCCCTCCGTGCAGGCCTCGGCGCTTTCAGGTACTTAAGTACGTACGATCCCTCCCAAGTCCCATCTCAGTGCATTTCCTTTTTTTTAAACCCATGATAATTAAAATTAAAAACTTTTTATGTGCCTAAAAAGGCCATAGATAAACATCAACCAACTCTTTCTCTATCCTCTCCTAATAAATAGTCCATTAAACATCATATAAATATTTCTAAACATCTATATAGCAATCTTAAATTAGAAAAAAAAATACATTTGACCATCAATTTACATTATTTTAGGTCATCATATCAATCTTTTTCTTTTAAAAAAACATCCAAAACCTCCCTCCACACTCCCATGCAGCGTTAAAGCCCGTTAATCATCTTATAAATATTTCCAAACCAATCCGTGACACTTCTAAATTAAATAAAATCATAAAAAATTTAGAACAAAGCATCCAACCATTGGGTTGTTATTATATTTTTATTTAAAAAACTCCCTAAATTTTAATAAAGCTGACATATCCATTACTTACATCCTGTTAGACATCTAATGACTTTCTATCAAGTTAATTAATTTCTCTCAACATGTATATGGGGGCTATTTACCTATACAATTTAATCTTGATGCTTTTATCAATAAATGATCTTATTAGGAGATAAATGAATAATCTTAAAATGATCATAGCATCTAAATTATGTATATGATATATGAAGTCACTAATTAATAAATTAAAGAAAAATATTTAAATGATATCATTTTTTTTACGTCATAATATGTACCCCATCTTGCCTAAATTTCTTATAGACAACCTATCGAATATAAAAACATGATCAGTTGAACACCATACTAATTGTACCAAGCATGTGGGTTACTCTAAGGAATCTTACCAGTGAAACAATCATGAGGTGGCCTTACCAATATATCGAGACAATTCCAGGGGATTAACGACCATGTTGATTTATTTCCTTTTGGTAAAACTTGCTAAGCTAAATCGTAAATTACTGACATTTAGCGTAGAACAATATAGAAACATAAATTTTATTGTATGAGCTCTACTTTAATATTTCTTATTAATTGAAGAGAAATAATTTAGAACATATGACTTTACCTCATGGTAGGTTGTAGGCTCAACCCGCTTATATATTTAACCCAAATTGCAGAGATCAAATAATTTCAAATATGCTTCATAGAGTGGAATTCTCCAAGTTTTTTCTAAAAAAAATGGACATGAAAATAATTCAAAATTTAACAAAAATTTATCTATTTTTTTTAAAAAAATGTTGGGTTTACAACCCATTATAAATAAAAATATTAAAACATTTTAGCGGGACTAATAGGATGAAAATATCTAAAACTTCAAAAACTTCAAATAGAATCTAACAAAAAAATAAACTTCTTGGCAAATGTTTGGAGCGAGATATCCCCGTGGGTAGTCGAAATACTTAGAATTTTCTCATAGGAACTACTACATCTATTGTTTTGATATAACATTTTCTCATAAATTGAAAATTGTATTGTTTTAAGTTATTTTAGTTTAAAATTTATGTACTGCAAGGGTAACTAGAAGAAAATCATTACCAACATTCGAAGCACATTAAATGAGTTCAATTTTAGTTTAGATATTATAGTAAAATAATATTTTAATACAAAGTCACCCATAGATGGACATCGTTATAAAATTTCACGCACGTTAAATAAGGTGCCCGTGCATGTGCGTTAAAATTTTACCACGTCAAATAATAATACGTTAATACCATCTTATTTTACGTAAAAGACTTACTTTTCATCTTCACGTTTACGTAGAGGATAAAAGAACACCACTTATATAAATAATAAACATCAATGTCTCGTACAAGTTACTCTCTCGGTCCCAAAATGTTAATTTAATTTTAAGACAGAGGGAGGGAGTACAGTATGAGTAACTCCATTACAAGTTACAACTGAGCACAACCGGGGTGTGTCTTACACACCTTGTTTAACTGGGTAATTAAGCTTCCTAATTACGCCAAGCCAGGCACAAGCACAACACGTACTTTACCCACAGTAGACACCATGCATGCAAGCGGGCCATCGATCGAGTCCATTGACGTTTAGTTAACCATTAAGTACTCCCTCTTGATGGTGGTGGCTGCCGGCGACGCGGCGCCGATCGACGCCGCCATCGTTGCCGGTGAGGGCGAGGTACTTGTCCCTCCTCGTCAGCGCCGTGCGCGTGTACCCCAGCGCCTCCGCGATCCGCCGCTGCACCTCGTTCGCCAACTCCGGTCCGCCGCCGCCGCCCTCGCCTCCGACGGCGACGGGATCCAGGAGCTGCACGACGTAGGCCGGCGTGGGGTTCATGAGCAGGTAGAGCGGGTCGAGCAGCTTCCACCCCCCCGCCGTCGTGCCGTGGAACATGGACACCGCCGAGTGCAGCGCCACGGGCTGCACGTCGGCGCCGAGCTCCGTGAACAGCGGGCTGAACCGCAGCAGGAACGGCTCCCGGCAGGTGGTGCCCTCGGGGCACACCACCAGCCCGCCGCCGCCGCCGCCGGGGAGGGACAGGTGGGCCTGCATGGCGGCACGGTCGGTGGCGCGGTCGCGGGTGAGGCGGAAGGTGCGGATGGGCGCCAGGATCTCGGAGAGGCGGCTGATGCTGTAGGTGGCGGCGGAGAGGTCGGTGCGGCCGGTGGCGGCGGAGACGTAGAGCGGGTCGACCAGGGAGCGGTGGTTGCAGACGAAAAGGTTGTGCGCCGCCGCCGCCGCCGGCGGCAACGAGGAGGAGGAGATGCGGCGGCTGTGCATGCCTAGGGCGGCGAGGAGTGGCACGGAGATGGAGAAGGGGAGGAGGAGGAAGACGGCGGTGCGGAGGATGGCGAGGGGTGCGCCCAGCGGCAGCCACATGAACATGGCGAGCGTCGCGGCCGCCGTCGGCCGGAATGCAGTGCGGCCGTCGTGGAAGATGAGAGGCTTCGCGTAGCGCCGGGGATGGAGGGGGCGCCACCGCCGCCGCGCCGACTTGGTTGCCACGTACACCTCCTGCATGCATCATTGCACGGAATCAGAATTTTTATTCGATCAAATTCCGACCATAGCTCCCGTCTTCTTTTCTCCAACAAAAGTTAAATTAAGATTAAGATTTTTGTGGCACGCTTTTCAAACTGCTAAACGGTACGTTTCAGACGAGAACTTTTATATATATAAAAGTTGCTTTAAAATATCATATTAATCTATTTTTTTAAGTTTATAATAATTAAAACTCAATCAATCGTACGTTAATACCACCTCGTTTTGCATTAAAAAACTTAATTTTCATCTTCAGGAGAAAAAAACACAATCTATATGTCTAACAGAAATAAGTAGGTGTTTTTTAAAAATAAAGTTCATAAAACCCCACCTATTACGATGCAAAGTTGTACAAAATCATAGATGTTTTGACGTATAGCACATAAGGTACTAAACTTTTAGAAAACTAGACCGTTAACTAATTTCAATACTCGTATTTCAAATTTTTTAAAAAAAATTCTTGCATACATGTAACATTGATATGATGATTAAAAAAACTCATAAATTTAAGATGAGTAAATTCCCTGTGTACCCCTGAAAACTCACTCAATCCCTTTCATACCCCTAAAATTTACCCGATCCCTTCTGTACCCCTGAAATTTCAATTTGATCCCTTCCATGCCCCTACCGTTACATTTTCCATCATTTTACTGTTACGTTTGGTTGCAAATGTCTTTTTTTGCCCTTGATGCTTTAGGTTTAAATATAAGCTTCAAAAATAATTGAAAATTTTGTTTGAGTGCACATCGTGTGCATTTTATAAAACTAATGAGACTAAATAATTAGTGCAGAAAATTTTGACATAAATTTTGAAAATAAAATAAATGTAAAAAATTAAAATTTTTATTTGAAATTTTAATAGGACAATGGATTTTTTTATCAGGAGCATTCATAAAAAAAAATGTTGTGAACATTGGTATACCTATCTTTATATGAATGCTCCTCATTTTTATGACCTTTTTTTAAAAAAATAAATACGTATTTTTTTTATTTCATTATCTAAAAATATTTTTTTGGGATAAATAATGCATCGCACAACAAACTCATAACTATAATAGTCTCATGCGAGAAGCTTTTATATTTTTAATAATGTAATTCATGAATTTCTTTGTTCATCCAAGGGTAAAATGGTCATTTTTATAGAAAATACACGGTCAACTAACGGTCAACTGACGGGAGGGGTATGCAAGGGATCAAAATCAAATTTTGGGGGTATATAAGGAAGTAAGCAAAATTCAGGGGTATAGAAGGGATTAGGAAAAATTTCAGGGGTATATAAGGGATTTTCTCATTTAAGATGTGATCGTAGAACTTGAAAGCGTGACAGATCAAAGTCGAAATGATCAATAGTGCGGTTTGTTGAAACTTTATAGCCATAATATCTGGAGTTTAAGTGCCACGTACCAAAACCTATGTAGTTTTGTGCAACTTAGATCATAATGCCTAGAGTTAAGTGAAATTTACTCTCTCTTTTTTAATTAGTTTGCACGGTGGTTTGATTAATAATCTCATTGTTTTTCCGATGATAATGATGGTTGGCGACTAATTTTATACTAGTCGTTGCTTATTTTACTCTTTTAAGCAAGTTTAATAGTAGAGCTCACTACTAATTGTAAACCCACTAATTGTAAACCCACTAATTGTAAACCCATAGTAAAGATAACATATATAATAGGTCAGTTATATGGTTAGCTGTAATTTTTTTTCCGTTCTCTCACTTTCTCACACTACAAAATTTAATGTATATTTTTTGAAGTATATGTAGAGTTAGCCCTTGAATGGGACCAACACTCCCCACTTTTTTTCCTTTCTCTTCCACATAAACCTGTCAAGCTTATTACCTATGGTTACTAAATTTAATACCAGAAAATATGGTCAAGCTTCCCATGCTGTGACGACCTGACTGTCTTCAAGTATGCGTCATGTCATCAAACTGTGGGCTACAACTATGTTCCCTTGGTCCATATTGTCACTACTTATGGGCCATAACCACAGGCTGCCACGGCACCTTCCTCGGCATTACCTCGCTATAAGTGGGCATCCTACCATAGCATCGCTGTAACTATGTCATCTTTGGGCCACAATATTTATGTTCTTGTTATCTCCATTGTTGTCAGAGCAGGGAGCTCCTCTAGCAAGAAGGTAAGATACCCGCCCATGAGAGTTCGGTTAAGGTGAAGCTTGTGTCCGGAACGTGTCAGAGAGTGTAGATGGGAGATTTATATAGGTTTGGGCTGCCCGAAGCGTAATACCATACATCTATAATCTTTCTATGGATGATGGGATTTACAAAATGTATGTTGAGTGGATGTTGTTCTAAGTGGGAGATGATGAACCATTCTTCACTGATTTTTGGCTAAAAATCTAATTCTGACTAACTGAACTTAACTATCCTAAAAACCAAACCCAATTCTCAATGGCATTGGTCCCTCTTTTATATGGTATGGGGATACCACAGTGCTTATGCTTATGTGCATGTGTGGGACATAGCCCAAAGTAGTTGGTGTGCTCAGTCTTGTCTTTGTCCCTCCAAGAGAACCGGCCGGGTGTGACGGGCTCACCTAACAGCTGACATGAGGAGCAATGTAACCAAAGTCTTCGTCGAGTTGTCAATGAGTCTACCGGTCATCCACCGATGCTGATAAAGGTGGCCCATCGGATGATAAGGCACAGACCGTGTCGCGTCGCTCTTCTTTTTATCCAAGGCAAAATGGGCAAGCGAGGGGAGGCATGCACTGCCACATCCCCCACGTCGCATGTGATCGATCCACAAAAATCATATCACACCGCAATTAATGCAGAATGATAGGGCAAGGATATACACAGGCTCGGGTCAAATCTTCTTAATGAAGTAGATTCGCTATTGGTGACCTTGGGTCCCTGGCCTATTTGTTGCGATCGTCGTGGCCCCGAGCTGATGCTGATGTTAGGTCATCTTATTTGGCTCGGGGTAACACTTGGGTCCCTTCATCTATTCTTGCTTTGATCATCATGGGTCTCATAGTGCCCCAAGCAGCCGATAGAGTTGGCGGAACCCTTGTTTTCACTTCTTTGACAATCATTATCCATGCATTGATACTCTAGTTTTCCTCACTAATCATAATTACCCACCATGTTATTCTTCACCTAACTTTAAGTACTATCACCACGTCTTTTTTTTTTGGGTTACCACTATTGTTGTTCTCGACCAGTCAACTACCCCTACCAATGTCGGCTCTTCCTACTTTGACAACAGTGAGTGCATCATATCTCTAGCTAGCCTTGATCACCAAAACTATCTAGAAGTATAATACTCTCTCTGTATTATTTTAAGAGATAATCCATTATATGCCACTGACTTTGTCACACGTCTACGATTTGCCACTGACTTTATCACGTTCTACAATATGCCATCGACTTTTGCTTAACTTCTATGATTTACCATCGCCGTCCGGTTAGCCACCGTTAGTACTGTACAAATTTGTCGAAATGACCAAAATACCCCTATGACAAAAACTTCCAAAATTTGGATAAAATTATCAAAATATTATATTATAAACATAAGATTGTAAACATCCAAAATTTGATCAAAAACTTGAAATATGATATTTCATAATTTTTATCCAAATTTTGAAACCTTTTCTCCCAGGGGTATTTTGGTCATTTCGATAAATTTGTACAGTACTAACGGAGACTAACCGGACGGCGATGGTAAATTGTAGAAGTTAAGCAAAAGTCAATGGCATATTGTAGAACATGATAAAGTCAGTGGCAAATCGTAGACGTGTGACAAAGTCAGTGGTATATAATGGATTCTCTCTTATTTTAATGTATGACACCGTTGACTTTTTATCAATGTTTGACCATTCATTTTATTCAAAATATTTATATAATTATCATTTATTTTATTGTGACTTGATTTATCATCAAATATTCTTTAAGCATGACATATTTTTTTGGGTTTTATATTTATATTTGTACAAAAAAAATTTGAATGAGACGAATGGTCAAACATTGTTCAGAAACATTATACTCCCTCCGTTTCAGGTTATAATACATTTTACCTTTAGTCAAAGTTAAACTGTTTCAAGTTTGACTAAGTTTATAGACAAATATAATAATATTTATAATACTAAATTAGTTTCATTAAATCAATAATTAAATATATTTTCATAATAAATTTGTCTTAGGTTAAAAATGTTACTATTTTTTTTATAAACTTAGCCAAACTTAAAACAGTTTGACTTTTGACCAAAATCAAAACGTTTTATAACCTGAAATCTGAAATGGAGGTAGTACATTCAAATACGGAAGGTCCGGAGTGAGTACATCCATGCATATTATATGCATGTTGACGAAGTGTGACGTGGACAAGTTTGTGACACATGCATGTACAGCGAACTACTAACCTTGCAATACTTTTGAAAGATCCGACTGAACGATCTCCCACGTCCACCAATGCCGACGACGACGCGGCCATCGCCGTCGCCGCACGTCTCCTCCTTCTCCCCACCTCCGATCACCTCCTCCATGTCCAGCCTCCGGAGCACCTCGCCGTCGGACTCCATGAGACCGAGGTAGTACCCGCCGAACGCCCTCACCTCCGGCGCGACGACGGCGTCGACGCCGAGGTACTCCCTCAGGAACGGCTCCACCATCTCCCTCGGCATGCCGCTCACGCACACGCACCGCCGCCGCCGCACCGCAGCCTCGAACACCTCGGCGCTCACGTCCTCCAGGAGCAGCCTGGGCAACGTCGAGCTGCCCAGCCGGAACCCGTCCTTCCTCACGCCGGCGAAGCTCACCATGGCCATGACCCTGATCGCCCGGTCATGGCCGAGCAGGCGCAGCGCCGGGTAGAGCAGCAGGAGCAGGAGGCCGCGGAGGAGGCCGCCGCCGCCACCTCCTGCCTCCAGGGCGACGAGCATGAAGTACGGGAAAGTGGACGGCGACATCAGCAGGCCGCCCTCCACCTTGCACACGGTGGTGACGACGCTCGTCGTGGTGGTGTCCGGCGCCGGCAGCAGCTCGTCGTCCGACGGCCACCGGACGATGTTGTCTGCCGCCGCCGGCTGCGGCGGCGGCGAATGGACGAGGGGTCTGAGGCTCCTGACGATCTTGTTGAAGTACATTAGGAGAGACCTGGTGAAGACCTTAGTCATGGCTGCTGTGTGTACTGTGCAGGGGCTGGATCGATCGACCGAGCAGCACGAATTTTAAAGCAACGGAAGAACAGGCTGGTAGTGTGTCTACCTTCGACTGACAACTGTAGCTAACCTAGTATATGCACCCCGAATAATGTGTGTCACATGCGTGGGTTTAATTACAAATACAGATAGGTAGGTGGTCAGCGGGAGAAGGGATTAATAAAAAGAAAATCCACTTTATATCATTTTCACGTATTAAACCTTAGTATATTACTATATATGTAATTGGTGAGAGTGTGAGACCCCTCTAACATAAATATTTCATGTTTAGAATAAGAAGCAGTATAACTTTCGAGAACTACCCGATAGTCATGTATACCAAGATGGGTTGGATTATAGACCATATATATTGAGAGATGGCCCTATTTAGGGAAGCTTTAGAGATATCTATTTTCAGAATTTCTAGCTTCGTCAAACAGTTTTGAATCTCACTTTGGACTGGTGAAAATCTAAAATGTTTAAGGTGCTGAAGATTTTGAAAGAATTTGCACCTGCTATGAAAGTCTTAGTATTTGTTTACTGGAAATGAATTAGTTAGCTAAGCTATAATTATTCAGCTTCAGATTCTTTATCAGCTAGATATATGGGCACCATGATTCAAATTGAGTATATACCCAATTCAAATAAGTATGAAATTTTTTTAAATGTTTAGGTATGAACATTAACTACTTCATTAACTAGTTCAAAGCAAGTTTGAACTTATTTTTGTTAGATTTTGATTCTAGATATATAACATCCAAACATATAATTAGTTATGTATGTAATATTGGATTGTGAAATAAAGTTCAATTTGAATTGTTTTGTTGCTAGGTATAGGTATGAATCAAATACTTATAACTAGGTATATACTCACAATTTGAAAATTTTGAAAACTTTGGACGAATTTATGTATTTCATACCATGGTGCCCGGGTACCATGGTGCACCATATGAGTGTCCTATATAGTAAATTTGTTTGGTGTAGGTATAGGTATGAATAGAATATATATATATATATATATATATATATATATATATACTCACCCTGTTACTTCTTATAATATCCATCTGTCTAAACAGGACTAAAATCTGAGATGTTTGTAGAACGAATTAGACCCTCAACTCTTCTGTGCTTAGTTGGTACAACTTTTATAATTCCTAATTAGTGTTGTAAATAATTTTTTTTATTAATATATAACTACTGCGCACTACTATTATAAAAATTGAAGATATTTTTGCCAGTATTTTGGTACGTCATCCGTATATGAGTCGGTTTTTAAGTTCGTTTGCTTTTAGAAATACAAATTGAAGATGTTTCCGCGTCCGCCATCCGTGTTTGAGTCGGTTTTAATTTTATGTTTTGGTTTTAATCTATATCTCTTCTCTATCTCTACTATTATAAAAATTGAAGATATTTTTACCGGTATTTTGTTACGTCATCCATGTATTAGTCGGTTTTTAAGTTCGTTTGCTTTTTGAAATACATATCCGTATTTAAGTCGGTTTTTAAGATCATTCATCATATAAGAAATCTATTTAAAAAACTCGCATGCTAATTTGAGATGATCGGACTCCTAACTGCAGCTCATGATTTTCTAAAAATATATATATATCCAAGCGAACTCCCACAGTGAATTTTATCTTAACTAAACCATATAACAATAAGGTTAAAATAGACTTCACCAGTTGCAACGCACGGACATTTTTTCTAGTAAAGAAAAAATCTGAGATGTTATCAGTTTAGTATAGGACTATAGGTGATGTCTCGCTACATTTGTTGGAAGAACCCGAGCCGTACTTCGAGCAGCAGTTGAGCCTATATTATCGACCTCTAGCTTTCATGTGATTATTACTAGGGGCAATTGTGTTTTTACCTGTTTTGAAACCTAATTATCGATTTGACCTTATTTTTTCTAGTTTGCTCATTTGACCCTCTTTTTTCAAAAACGAACATCAGGTCGGATCCTATGCTGTGAAGGCAACATAACGGTGTTACCTTAGACAACAAATGACATTTATACCCTTACTTATTTGACCGTACTTTTTATTCTTTTTTATTTGACCCAATTTTATTCTCATTTATATTTTTGAGATATGTGATGAATTTGACCTAGGTTTGATAGATTTGACTTAGGTTTGAATTTGAATTAGATTTGATAATTTTTGAGAAATTTGACATATTTTTAACCAAATTGAATTAGATTTGATATATTTTTGACAGATTTGACAGATGTTTGACAAATTTGAATTAGATTTGAAAAAACATTTACAGAACATACGCAAAATTTCAACAACATCCATCCCAATTTGCCAAAGAACAGAAGAATAGAAACTGCAATTCACTAGCTCTGCTTGTAGAAGAACAAATCGGCATGGGACGCATGAAGAGCAAAAGGCGCTGAAGCTTGGGGATGCATGGCCCACGGGTGCATACAACTCGCTGCTCGAGGACGACGCTCCACGCCGCTGCTCTCCCTCCACCCGCGCCTCCCCGTGTGCCCGGCGGCGGCGACCTCCTGCGCCTCCCTCCGGCCGCCGCGCGAGTCCGCCGCCGGCTGCCGCGCGCCGGGGTTGAGCTCCTCTGCCGCGAGTGCATGCGCCCCGGGTCACGCTCCACGCTGCAGCTCTCTCTCCCTCTCCTCGCGCCTCCCTTCGTGCCCGATAGCGGCGACTGCGCCCTCTGGACCCCCGACCCACCTCCATGCCCCGCGCCGGCCGCCGCCGCGCGCCTCCTCCGCTGCCCGTGTAACCCTAACCGCGCGCGCGTGCGTGCTGTGGGGAATCGGTCGCGCGGGCATGTTTTGGTAAATCACAGGGGCAGTTAAGTCTTCTTCCCTCTGTAATTTTATTTTTTTATTTTCTTCTAAATCTATTCCTCACAGTGTGAATACATAGCGCCACACGTCCACTTCAATTTTAGAAAAGAGGGTCAAATGAGCAAAGTTAAAAAATACAGGTCAAAATATATAGTTAGATTTTAAAATAGGATAAAAAAGCAATTATCCCTCATTAATACCGTGATAACCATCGACAGAATGAATGAGTCAAACTGAAGCAAATATAAATTGACGGCAAGGACCTAATCTAGCTAGCTAATACTCTCTTGGGTCATAATTATACGATGTTTGGAGTAGAATTTCTGAAAGGGAACGAGGAGTACGTGTAAAGCACAATAATGGACACGTACACAGGCTATAATCATAGCGGTTCTTAATTAAATTCACTGTATCGGACGATACTTCCTCCATCTCGAAACAAAATACAAAGTATAACCATATCCCCAAATATAAAACAAGATCATTTTTTTTCAATGTTTCATAATACAAATTATGCATGCATGTATGTTCTCATGCACATCACCGGACCCTTCCCCTTTTTGTTTTAGTAAATTTTTCATCATCAATATTTCTAATCATATTGGATGCATATATATTATACTTATTTGAAGTGATTAAAAAAAAGAATGTGATAATAATTCTTTCTTGGTTTTTGCATAAGTGACATCAATGCTAGTTGTTAGGGGCGGATAGAATTCTAATAGGGGGGTTTATCTCCTTCTTTCTCCTCTAGCCCTCGTACTCTTCCGGGGGTAGGGGACCCGAGTTCTCCTAATACCACATTAGATCTACCCCAGCTAGTTATGTCTTGTATTTTTTAGCAGAAGGAGTACTCATTATTGTAATAATAATAGTATTTGGCATTACCAATCACTACTCATAAAATCCACATTTTGGAAGCACCTTAAAAAATTTGTCTACTCTATAAATTGCTACCGTCTATATTTAGCTTTTCATATTTTATTAACTATCTATAAATATCTTTATTTGTAATAGTCATTATTTTAATGCATAATATCGCAAAGTACTGTGGCCTATGGACTTGCTAGGGAGGGGAGGGGATGTGGCCCCGTGGGAGGAAGGGATTGGGAAGCTCATTTTTTTAAAAAAAGAAAAACAAAATTATAGAACATGAAGGACAATAGTGTCTAATTTTTCAAGGTCTAGCCGTTGGTGGGCTACAGAAAGAGCGGGGAAGGTGGCAAACCATCGAGACATATGAGAACTAAAGATGCAAAACCTCGATGATGTGATGATTCTATTTTGTAAGGTTTTGAGCATCTCCAGCAGAAGCCCCCTAGCTACTTTATGGGGCCCTAAAGGTTAAATGGCGGTTGTCCCTAATTCTTAAGGATCTTAAATATGTCTTTACTCTAGCAGTAGCTCCTATATCTTAGCCCCTAGTTTATTATCTTTTATTTTAATATAGAATTTATGTTTATATCTAGTTTAACACCACAATAATTCAAAAACATAAATAATTCCAGCGCATGGAATTTAACCATATTAAAATTTGCAATTTCAAACACCACAATTCAAATTTGAATTCAAAATTTTCAAACATGAAAATGCTATATCCTACAAGCAAATATTAAACATAATCCATAGTTGACAGAAAATACAATGAAACAAACTACCGAGCACCATGAAGCGCCCCAAATGTTCCACAAGATCATCTCAAAGTTGCTCATGTGCATGTCAATCTTCAATTTCTTTATGTATCTTTAGAAACTTCTCTAGCACAGGTTTATTGCGTCATTGGTGCTCCTCCTTTCTCAACACCTCACTGTCCTCCAATCATAGTCAAAGTCCACATCTTCATCTCGCTCAGTGTCAACAATCATGTTGCGCACGATTACACAAACTGACATTATGTACCATAGGGTCTTCGTATCCCAAAATCTAGCAGGATCCCTCACCATTGCAAACAAGCTTGTAAAACACCAAATGCTCTTTCAACGTCCTTCCCCACTCCTTGAACTTTTGTGTAATGGATTCTCTTGTTACCTTAAGGATTGGAAATGGTCTTCACAAAAGTGGCCCAAGAAGGGTATATGCCATCAGCAAGATAGTAACTCATGGTGTATTTCTTACCATTTACCATAAACTCCATCTATGTGTATATTTCCAGCAAACATGTCCCTATGAATTATTTCACGACCTGAGACTGAACTACGACGCTTTCTTTTGGTTCTTTTATGCTCTATGTTCGTAAGAAGGGCAGCTGCAATGTAGTAGTCATCATCATCGGACAACTCCTCTCA